GTACGCGCCGCGTCACACGCCCTATCGCTTGCACGGATCTTGGCTGTCTACCACCTGATACCGCGGCTCACTGATAGAAGGAACAAACCAATTGTTAGCATTTTTAAAAGAGTCTGAGTGAGCTATCCCAATTCCCTTCTCCGGTATTCTTGGAAGGACTATGATGGCCACCCGCCATCATATCACAACATGCCATTTTCAACAATCAATCAATGAATGGGTTGAGACGCGCCATACAGATCCCCCTGACTGTTTATTTGGGGTGGGAGCCTGGTTATTTTATGACCTCTACGATTTTCCGACTTTCTTTTGAGCGACGTTATGCCTCAATACCCACCCGTAGAGGGTTCTCTTCTTGTGCGTGTTTTTAAGTTCGCCCCTCTAGTCCTCTGCTCGAAGAGGTTCCTAGCAGAATATGGTGCTCGGTTCCCTGACGCCTCCCGTTGCTCCTCCCTTGTAAACGAATTAATGGCTGCTTGTGACAAAAAAGAAGCATAAACACATCTATTTAGACCTCAACAATGTCATCAAAATTGAAAGATTTAGCGGACAAAGTTCGAGGATGGAAACTCGTCCAAAAGGCTTTACCACGGATCATCGAATACGGCCGAGCGGAAGGGATCCTACAAACTCCAGCTCCAGTGAGTGCTTATTATTAAAACGCTTTGGAAGAAAAGTCTATATTACATGAGAAAATAAGGCAAAAACCTCAGCTGAAATGAAAATTCTCAAAAATTAGATTCATTTCCAGACTTGAAAAAGGTCTGAATGAACGATTGCATACTGTCCGGTTCGCTAATGGTGATGGGGCGTGTCAGCGGCCAAATTTGGCGCGTCGCCAGCCCTTTCTCCACCGGTTGTTGAAGGCGGCTAAGCGACAGCAGCTGGCGAACGATTGATACGATCGATATCATACAGCCTGTCGCTGCGATATGTCGCTCGCCGAAAGAAAAAAAGGGCTGGCATCGCGCCAAACCCATCCCGCTTGACACGCCCCATCATTCGCAGCGAATAAGACTGTAACCATATTGTAATGCCTTATCAAGATCAATCCAGAACGAGATTTAATCTACACTCTAGGAGAATGTCAACAAGGAATAGTAAACGTTTCAGCAAGCCAACGCACTCAACATCAGCGGTGTTGTTTTGGCCGCACAAGAAGAGGCACATACGCAAAAAGAGACGAAAACTGGTGACAAGGTGAGCACTTCAAATATTTTCCCACTTTCCGCGTCTTCGATCTTTTTTGCTTCATATACGACTTCAGAAGTACGGGAAGAGAAACTAATTAAGGTAAATTTGCCGACGAATGATATCACAATGATGCACGAGGCAATTCCCTTTCTGCCAGTACCCGTAGCCTTGCTGTGCTTTCTCCTGAATATTTTTCTACCCGGAACAGGTAAAAATTGCTTTCGTTGGCGTAATCGCTCTCTGAACTCGCTTAGTTCTATGGCTGAGTGTCTAGTCATCTCTAAGTTTTTCTTGTTATTACATCGGGGATTCGGTCCTTTATCACAAGTGGTACCTTTCTATGGGAATAAACCAGTAAATAAATAATTAAATAAATACAGGTGTATTGGACTCAGTATGAAATCACTGGCGTCCTTCTTCCTAATGTGTTCCATGAAGAGTTGCTCAGCCCAGCTGGTTTTTGGACTTGCGTGACTTTTTCAGAGGGAACTTATGCATACTCCGCTACATCTGTAGCAAGCGCTAAAACGAAAATAGTCCACTCATTTGGCATGCTTCAGCTTCTCCTCCCTTGCGTCGAACCGGCGCATTCACAGAATCTGTTGGTTTTTCTATTCAAGTCATTTTCTGACACGGTCCTGATTCCAACTAGAATTTTTCTAAATAACCCCCTCTGGGGTTCTCCGTCCTTGTGTTTTGAAGTCCTCGTGTGATACTAGGGCCTTCCCAGCAACTGCCCCTACTTCGCTCTCCATTTTCATCACTCGAAACTGGATGGAAATAAAGCTAAAGGGTTGTGACAGCTTTATGCCCCTTCGGACTCTAGTCGCCATGCACAGCGAGCGGTATGAGCGTCGATGCTGAAGTCCCGCAGCAAATATGACGGCAATCTGCCGGAAGTACCCTGCTTAGAGGCACTTTCCGCGTGGGTAACAGAGTTCAGAACCAGGATTGAATTGTGCTAGCTGACTTGCTAGTGAGAAAAAAATGTATGAAAATCCTCCTCCGATATGGCCCTCCTTCTTGCACTTACTTGATATTGACGGACGAGAGAGCACAACGGCATAATTACGACTACACGGGTAATGTAGGCCGGCATGGACTTCCTCGGGCCTAAAATCTAAGTTTCCTGTGCTTTGCTGCCAATTTTCCAGTTTTGAATGTGGTGCAACCTCTGTCGCGTACAGAATCACCTTGTTCATTTAAAAGGTCCTCTCGGCCTATCGTGGACCGTGGCGTCAAGACAGAGAGCAACCAGACATTGGAGGGCATGGAAAGGTAACTCTTTGGCTGTAGTTAGGCGTACGTAGGTTGTACTGCACGTTGCGTCTGCGTGGAGGCCTGTGGGTAGTCCGGAACGGCATCTCGCTATTATGTACCCTCAAACCTCATTCGGCCTACCCTCGTCGTGTCGAGAGTGCCCCGCATCTACAGCTGCCAACCGTTCACCCCGAACATGTCGAGGACCAGAATCCTCGAAGATGAGCCTACAGCGTATCTTTAATGAGTTATTTATTTATTTATCTATTTATTTATGTATTATATATGGTGATGTGGCAGAAAATCGTTTTTAGATAGACGTCGCTAGTTTTTTCCTTGCGTTTGAATCTACATACATACATAGGGTCAAATTTTGAATTATACCTAGGGACTATATTGTCTGGGATATCAGCCTTATGCATGGGCCAGCCACGAGTGAACCTAAAGGAAGGACGCAAATTGGTTACTTTGGTGAGCTGTTTTCATCGCTGTCTATCACAATACAATTTTACTGCAACTTGAAAATACATATACTCCTTGTCCCTGAGACGGGGTAGGTGGTGCATTCGAACATGGCACAGAACTGGTTACTCGTGGGATATTTCAATTTGAGACAACCGCCATCTTGTTCTTTGTTGGACAGAGACGTGACCACATTTGGGTCAAAATGAAAATATCTCTCCAAAAGTAGCCACCACGACGTTTAGTTGAAGTACGCAGCCACGCCTACCTCATCTCAGGGATATCGAGTGTATCTAAAGTCAGTGATCGCTCTTGTTTTATTATAATAGGTGATGAAACGTAAAACTACTTTTAAATTAAAGAGGGCAGTTTCTAGGTTTTCTAATAGCCTTCTTGAGATCGAGACAGGTGCGCCAGCTCGCGAGAATAAACTTTTACTGGTTTTTAGGTAGTAAATTTGCTTGTTGGAGTGAGTCAATTCTTCACCATCACATTTCTGTTCGTTGGATGGTTTTGGTCAATCGCATGGGGAGGACTGCTCATCATTCACTCAAGTAATGAAGCTTTTACTTGGTTGTGTTTATTCCAGCTTATCCCTTCCCTTTTCCCCCCACATTTCCCCCCCCGTCCATCTGAACTGTCTGCCCTATTAAAAAGAAACTACTGGTGATTTGGTAGCCTTTGAAGTAAGAAAAAAGTCGCGTTCAATGAAAAATTACTTGAATTACTTCTGCTGTGAAGCCGCCATGCAAGCTTAGTGAATTTGGAGTGCTTTTATGAGGACTTCACTTAGAAACCACGAGTCCTGCCGCGCCATCATAGCAAGAAAACGTCTGCGAGATTGGCCGTCATGCATTTCAAGAAGAATTGAAGTTCAGAGGAAGTGGGAGTGGCAGCGCTCTTGTTTCTCTGCACACGATCCAACCACAGAAAGTGCGCGGGGAGTAATTGGCGCATGTCTTCCGCTAACACAGCGGGGGGGAGGGCGAGGCGGGAGGGCGTATGGACGCTCGTTCCTGGAACAGGGGGTACAGCATCTTTGTGTGGCACACAGAGGGGGTCATACTTTTCCGCTGGGGAGGGTATTTGATGGTTGTTGGGAGGGGTCGTATGTGGCTTCGAGAGAAATTTGCCGCGTTGGGAAAAAATTTTCCCGGTTGTTGACTTTTCGCGTGATTTTTCCTGTTTCATGTGTACTATATACCCCTCCCCCCTCCCTCCCGCTCAGTGCAAATTTTTGAGTGAAAAACAGGAAAATGTGGGAAATTATAGGTAGATGTTGGGGAAGAGGGGGAGGTCGTAGCCAGACCCTCCCTCGAGGCGACGGGAAGGGGCGGAGGGGGAGGTGGGGTCGTACTGACACCACCATTTTACACATTACGATGCTGTACCGTGCCTGGGAAGCGGTCGTGCCGACCGAGCGATTTCTCGCTACATGATGCTCGACCCTGAACGAACAGCCATTTATTGCGCAGTTATTCCCTTCTCTTACCACTATTCTGCTAAAATCAGTCTTTTACTTTCAGTGCAATATCGGGAGGCTCTACAGCAACGTCGCCAAGAAGCAGTGGCAACGGCAGCTATCGAAGCGCTCACAAAAGATTCAATTCTTCACCGACGAGACGTCAAGACACTTGTCAAAACTCACAAACAACAGGCAAAGGATAAAAGAACGGCTATATCTGATTCAAAAAAGAAAGGGGCTAAGTAATAATTATTGCTCATTTTAATAACATCAGGGAAAAGTTTTCGGTTTCTCAATTAAATAGAAGTAGGTTGAATACGAGTGCAGGGCATTGTAAGGTTTCGAAAAAGCACGAAACTCACAGCAAAAATGTTCAAAAAATACAAAATGTACGACGATAAGTTTGAAAAACCGAAAATTTTTTCCTAAAATCTGTTCGATCTGCTCAATGGATACTCCCTCTACCATCACCACATTGATCTCTGTAATATTGAGAAACTTTTCTTTTTTCTCTCCTGTGATTATTTTGATAACGTCCTCTCATTTGCCATATCAATACGCCTTCATTCAGTGATAATAAATGTTTCCGCTCCCTTACAGCTCTCTCTCAAAATTAGCTGTTGGTGTAATTTCCAATTCATAGGTTGTAAAAGAGGCGGAGGTGATGTAGTGGGAAGTGACTTGCTTAACACGCGCGCTGCCCGGGTG